CAAGCGAATGTTGTGGCTGGCGTTGTTGTGGCATCTTTGTCGTCTCACGTGCGATGCGCCGACGGCAGGATCAATGTTGATGCGCTGAGATCAACGGAACCCCCTATAAGGATTTTGGAGTGAAAGGCATAAAAGTATGTCTGTTTTGCTCTGACTAGGCACCTACACTCACCCAAACTAACCTAGACTGACTTACACTTGGCTAGACAGAGATACCCGAACACACCTACACAGAGGCTTGCACAGAGGCTACACAGAGTTGGAGACTCCTAGGCAAAATATCCGTCTAGGACCCTACACAGGGTCTGCCTAGGGACTAAACACACCTAGACTGACCCTAGACAAAGTTAGGCTCACTGAGTCTAGGGATCCTTGGAATGCAGTATATCTTGAGCCAATTCAACTTCTTCGTCAACACCAACGCAGAATTGCTGCGCACGAACTTCGTTGCGCATGGAGGGAAGATGGGCCTGCGGATTGTCAACGAGTGCACGTGTCACGGTCTTCTTGATTTCGGGTCCATGGCGCGCCAGATGGTCGACCTCATAGAGAAGAACGTCGTGGATCCCACTCTGCGCGAGTGGGTGATTCCCAGTTTCACGACGACTACCGAAAACGATACAACCGTGGCCGCAGTCCTCTTACTCGCAACATTCAAGGAGTTTTTCAGGTACGAATTCTGCGGCATTATATGCGGGATACCTCGCGTAATGCTCGAGGGAGAGAAGTCCGACTGGGTCAACATTCTATAGAAATGTTCCAGTCATTGGGGTGGGCCAATCACTCCCAATTGGGAAAGTTCTGCAAAAGCTTGCTGGCACTCATATGGTGGGGTCCAGAAAAATCAGGGGAACAATATTGATTGATCCCTCAAGATGTTTGGCCTTGTATTGGCGCCGCTGCGGCCGAAACCGTCCGAAATCCCACCTTTCCTTGATGGCAGGGTGTTATACATCGGAAAAGTTTGCTGGCGGCCATGCAGCAAAATCTGGAAGGTGATTCCGGCGGGATTCCACTTTTCATCTCAGCGATTTGGTCAAGAATCCGTGCAGCGCTGGAGCGTTCTTTATATTCGTGAGGGCTTGATCTGCGATGCACCCCATCAATGCTTGCTGGCACAGGGATCAGTCGGGGAAAAGCTTGCTGGTGGATGTGCAGCAAAATCGGGAGGGTGATTCCGGTGAGTTTTCGCTTTTGGTCTGAGTGGCTTGGTCAAGAATCCACTGGGTGGTGGGCCCTCCATTATATTCAGGCCCTTTGCAGCACCAGAGGTAGTGAGTCAGACACCAGAAAATGTTGCAGGTGGCTGTTTAGAAAAATCAGGACAGTGATTCTGATTAGTTTCCACTTTTGGTCTGAGTGATTTGATCAGGAATCCGTGCAGTAGTAGCCTGTTCATTATATTCATGTATGGCCCTATATTCTGGTTGCCATCAATGCTTGCTGGCAGATGCTTAGACACCAGAAAGGCTTGCTGGCGGATGTGCAGTAAAATCAAGAGAGTGATTCCGGTCAGTTTTCACTTTCGGTTTGAGTGATTTGGTCAAGAATCCGCTGAGTATCAGTATCCTTATATATTCTTGGTTCACATCAACGCTTGTTGGCAGATGCTTAGATACTGGAAAAGCTTGCTGGCAGATGTACAGTAAAATCAAGAGAGTTATTCCGGTCAGTTTTCACTTTTGGTTAGAGTGATCTGGTCAAGAATCCGTGGAGTAGTAAGCTGTTCATTATATTCAGGTATGGGAATATGATCCAATCTAATCTCGGCACTCCCAATCCGGATTGGCTGATATAAGCCAAATTGCCCGTGACAAAGGTAACAGAGGTCACAGATCAGAAAGAGAGAAAAACCAGGTCTGCCTTGGTTAAGTCACAATACTTGAAAAAAAAAAAATCAGAGCATTTGAGCTCTTTGAAGCATTTATTTGAAGTCTAATAAAATATGAAGTAAATATGGAAGTTATAGCTCTTGAAGAGGGCTTTCCAATGGTCTTAGTCCCATCCTTGGATCTGACTTGGTCAAGTCCCAAAACACAAAATACTCGGTGGACACTTTTGAGTGTTTTGCAAGTCCATGTTTAGTTCTGATTGCCATCACTCTACTTCTATCATCTCACCCTGTCACCCCCCCATTGCAGCCTCCCTGCCCATCCCCTGCCCTCCCACTGTGTTCCATTGTCTCTTCATGTCTTCCCCACCCTCTTCCCAAGCCACTCCACCCATGTGAGTGATCTTTTTTTTGTTGAGTGGCACAAGTACATCCAACCTCCTAACCCTAGTGCCACTGAACTCAGCGTTGACATTGTGGGTGTTAGGAGGTTCTCGGTCTTATTGAAACGAAACTGTTAAGTGTATTTTTGCGACGAAGATATTTAGAAGTCTAGCTATATGTGTGGTTCATCTGGATACCCAAATAAACAAGCCATATGGTTAAGGAAAGCAGCACGCAACTTAAATGTTGCTGTCAGGATATATGATTGTTCGCGTCAATCCAAGTACATGTGGTAACTGCGCCCCTAGGTTACCTCGCTGGTTACCCCCGCGTAAGCTTGCCGAGGTAACCAGCCCAGATATACAGATATACGAGATACTCCGTGGTCCCGGAAAGATCCGGTTGATGGCCCGGTCCAGGGGCCGTGATCGGGACACGTGATGCCGTCGCGTCGACGCGCTCTTCACCGTCTGATCCAATCCGACGTGTTTTGGGCCATTTATGAACTCATACACATGTGCATGCATGCTCTAAGCTTGCGGAGTCACTTTACGGCCTATTACGGGCCATAGAAAGCATAAAATAGAGCAAATTCTCGAAATATTGCCTATAAATTGAGGTATTGGATGAAATAAAATGGCTGCAGGGACACTGCGAGCCTGAAATGATGTACGGTCATGTATTGAGAGATTAAATTGAGTTTTAAAGGCACAACGACCCATTTCACATTTTTTATAGTGCATAGCAGTGAAATATTTGGGCCTGAGATTCCACTGATACTCTAGCCTCTGAGATAGGATTCTTAGGTGATTCTTGAGGGAATAAACATATTTCATCACTCTGTCAGTACTTTCCATGAATTCTTTTGCCTGCTCAAAAAGATATTGGCCCACCTTTGACTGATGCTTCCCAGGTGAAATTTTACATTGAGCTTGCAATGAATCCAGGTTTGTGAGCACCTTGAGTGATCAGATATGCCTTAGGGATACACTGGGACATTTTAGGCCAGATTTACGAACATACCAGATACTCTCCAGAGCTGGAAATTGCAAGAATAAATTGTGCATGATTGAACATGCACAATTGTGACTGTGAACATCCTCTGATCAAACACATTGAAGATATTCAATCGAACAATTTTTAAAAATGTGTTCAATCGGCATACAAACACACTACTCAATCGAACATTCAGATATTAGGCTGGGAAAATGATAGTTTTGGCTAGTGTTCAATCACAGATTGAACATGTTCAATTGGGAATCCTTCGGCTCAGATGTTCAATGTGTGCGATTGTGAGGCCTAATAAGGTAATTCTCCTTGATTGGGAGTACATTCAGCGAGGTAACCGGGCTGTATTTGAGCCCCTCTGTTTGGCGGGCAAAAGATCACGTGTGGGGTAACCGGGAGGGCACCGCGGGGGTCACCACAGCCGAGGTATATGCATGTATATCTAGTCTTCTGTAGCCACAATTTATCGCCTTCTTCTTTGCCCCATCGTCCTCTGTGCCAGTTCCTTGCACTCGACTAGCTCCTTGTCCTCTGTGAGTTTCTCCAGCTTCTAGCCACCTCAGTATATTTTCTGATAGTTGCCATGTTTCAGACACCCAAAGATGGGATGTCGACAAAGAAGCTTGTTCAAGTTCATCATCTATGAATAATATTTGGCCCTTTTGTGCTGGCCCCACGAGTTTAGATCCAGCCTTATTCCAAAGCGTAGGTGTGGTATCAGGAAGCACAGCACACTGTATTTCTGCACTGATAACCGACACAAGTTCACGATGAGACAAATTTTCGGGTATTCCGATAGTACGATCGGGTTTCGTTCCCTGTTGCAGGAGGCAATTGTTGCACCGGAGAAATTTCAATAGGATTGATTCACGCTCCTACGTGAACCATGTACTAGTGCATGAGCCACATTCGAATTCATTGCAATTAATTTTCCATTCCCGTTCGAAGTTCCAGACATGACAGACTCTATTCTAATTCGAAGCCGAGTGCCCCAATGGTAATTCTCACCCGCTGTGTACCAAATAATTCCGCCTGCACGGTACGTCGGGTGTGTGTTCTGAGTCGACAATAAGATGTGATCCGCTCGTTCTGGATTCATGGACCATTCTTGGCCTATTTGTGTGAGACTCAAGCATTCATTTTCAGCGGCAGTCCCAAAAGGACAGATAACGGGTGGAAGCATGTATTCCTGACTCAGAATTGGGACCATGAGACCAATTTGGCATTCCGATAGTACCAGTTGGTTTCATGATCATTTCTGGGCTTGTACATGTTTCAGAATTGAGAATTAATTGTTAGAGGAATTTCCAATGTGATTCATTCACACTCATGCTAAGTTCACATTCATTGGCCACAATATATTTCGCTGGACATTCACTGCAATTATACAAACATGGTACTCAAAGCCACTGTCAAGGTACGTTCCTTCCTAATTCGAAGCTGAGTGCCCCAATTGTGTACGGAATATTATAATCTCCTCAAGGAATGTCAGTCTGAACTTACTCACCAATGAAGTAAATTGATTTCAATCAAGTATGTTCGTTCATGCCCATTTGAATGAAGGGGGGTACTTGAATATTACCACTATATACTTAAGTTTGGCCCAACAGTTGGGGCAACATGTGGGTACGAGAATCAGATTTTTCCACCTGCTATAGCATGTGCAAATATTGTTTGCCTTAAGTTCCAAATTTCGGTCGCCGATATTCCTAGGTGTCCTAGGTGCTGGTGAACAAAAGCTCTCTCCATAGCCCAGTATCAACACTATTGCGTGTCCGGTTCAATGGTGCAATGTGTGCACGCCTGCTACATATCGCGACTTTCCCTATGACTCTGCAGGAGGCGCCCGTTCGATTCGGGCTTGGACCATGCTGGGGAATTTCTGATCCGACATTTTCTTTAACGCCTGCGTGCATTATTAGTTGTTTCTAGCCGCGTCTGCTCCGGTGGGGTTAATAAATTACGTGCTGAAACCTACCGTACTTGGTGGAAATTAAATTATGTTCAGAAGAAATACACAGGGGAGACGTAAATGATCAATCATCCGACCCGTATCAAGATGCAGCTTGTTAATCGCGTTCTCGCAAAATCTCTCTCCATAGCCCAGTCTCAACACTATCGCGTATCGGCCAATGGTGCACTGTGCATGCCTGCTAGATATTGCGACTTTCCCATGACTCTGTAGGAGGCGCTCGTTCGATTCGGGCTTGGACCATGTTGTGGAATTTCTCATCCGACATATTTTTTCCAACTCGAAACGCCTGAGTGCATTATTGGTTGCTTCCGGTCGCGTCTGCTCGAATCTCGCCAATAAATTATGTGCTGAAGCCCACCGTACTTCATAGAAATTATATTATGTTCAGAACAAATGCACATTGGAGGCGTGAATGATCAATAATCCGGTCTGACTGGTAGGAACTAACCCGTACCAAATCTAGACCAATCAGTCACCAGTGTACTTGTGGAGTTCAAGCTCTGAAATATTACTATTGGAGTGCCTAAGTGGCTAAGAAACACCTCTTCAAATCCGAGTATCAAGAGAACCAGACGTCGGTCTAATCGTGCATGGGGCACACCTGCGGGATGTTAAAAGTCGATAATGGCATCCACGCTTTGCAGGAGGCGCCCGTTCGACTCGGGCTTGGACCATGAGGAACGATGAGAGATCCTTTTTTTCGCTGTGCAGTTTTCTAAGTTTTTTTTCAGGGCTCGCACGAATATTACATGTGCATGAAAGAAGAGCGCGATAATAATATATACATGTGACGAGCGCACGACGAACCTTTGCTTTGTCCGGCTTAATCGGCATCCTGACTTCTTCAAGTTTTGCTCTTCGACTTTGCGCTTTCGTCAACGGTTCGTTCGCACTGGATGGGGTCCGTCCCTCAGCCTTTCTGGACTCGATCAGGAGATTCTCGCGCTCTCCTCCGCCCCGCTTCCGCGGGCTCTGGGATCTGGATTGGACGCGGCATCGGCGTCACAAGCCTTTGCGTCGTCGCGCGCGGTGCCGACATCCTGTTGAAGGGGTCTCGACGTATCGTCCTTGTTCTTTCTTTGGCCTTCGTATTCGAGGCGTCCGACTCGTGCTGGGCGTGCCACTCGTCGTCGTGCGCCGGCGGGGCGCCATTCCTCTGCCACCGGCGTGCGGTCTTGGCTTAAGTTTGTTTTCTCTTTGTGCCCGCCTTCGTCAGCGTCGACTGCACGCACGCGCCTCGACATTCTTCTGCAATGGCACGCCTCGTCCTTTTGCGCTGCTTGCCCCTCGGTCCAATGCGCGCGCCGTTTTTGCCACTAGGTTCAGGGCACGTGTCTGGGCCCGGCGTTGCGCGCGTCTGAGTGATCTTATTCGCGTATGTGTGTACTTGAGTTGTAGTTATTGCCATGTCATTATTTTTATTCATATTTTTGGACTGGGGTACTGGATCTCAGGGAACGGCTGGCCAATATTATCTTGCTTGACAAGGTCTCTCCAAACTCATAATTGTCCCCTCAATATTGATTATTATATCACCAACGCGGCTTGATCCGTCTTAACCTTTCCGTTATGTTCCGCAATAATACACGTAAACATTATTACCAACGACAACCTCCGACTTGAAGTTGCGGTGCGCGTGTGGCCAGCACTCATGGACCGTTAAATATATATCAGCAAGCTAGAATCAACATACACTCGAAACATATCGCTGCCAGAAATTCCCAGAACTTTTGGTTGCTTTCTGGTCACATTACCGTGGAGCAAACCTGAACACAGAAACAAGCATTGAAGTTTAACCAAAGCCTGCTTTGGCTGATCAATACATCACCTCCAGTGCATTTCTTTTGTGACTGTCCTGTCCCGTGGATTTTATTTTTGCTCGTCCAATAATCTTCCGGAGTGAATCAGTGATATATATTATTCGGAACAAATTCAGAATCCAAAACAATGGTCGCTGGCAAGGGGGGGGTATTAGGCAAAAACCGAAGCAATATTTATTATATCTTCGGCTCGATGTTGATGGATGTGGAGGATACCGATACTGGATCGCGTCGAAGTTTGATATATCTCTAGCACTAGAATAGCGCAAGCAAGGTTCTGCCGACGCAGTCGGCGCTTCCTCATTTGGCCAATACTCAGCAGAAACAGCATATACTGTATCCTTTCGACCAAGTGTTCACGCAGCACAGGCCTTCGTGAACTGAACACTTTTGATGGTCATGAGCATCACAGTGGCCAGTGAACACCTACTTTGGCGAACCCACCAGAGCACAAAAATGTCATTTTCGAGACTGTAAAAAGTACGCCAAAATTATCTCGAAAAATAATGTGCCTACGCCAAGCCCACGCGAAGAAAGTCAATAAAAAGCTGGTACTCGATCTGTTGAGAGATTTTGAGGTAGGCCTTGGCTACTTTGCGGACAAGGGGAGGTGTTGTTGCCCATTCCTTCCCCTGGCCAATCCAGTCGGATTTTTTGAAAGTCTTGTCGTCCATGGATGCGGAAGGTAAGAGTACAGACTTTGTCTTTTTACAAGCCTATGATTATAATTGTGCGTTCCGGTGTGGCCGAGTCTGTTTACAAATATTATTGGGGCTGATTTAAAATTTGGGCCTATAATCCGCCCACATCCGGTGCGCTCTGAATCATCAACGGCGGGCGACATCTTTGATGCTCCTTTGATGATTCTGCAACTTCAGGTTAGTATTTCCACAAATGAACACTTGGGAAGTGTGTCACAGCGACCTCGGCACCTTGAACACCTGGTCCAGTGAACACTTCGTGTCATGCGTAAAACCTATGAACACTTGGTCAAAAGGATACAGTATTCTCAGGATACTGGCCGGACAATATTTCGACCATTATTCCGCCAATATCTGGCCCAAGCACCCTGTTTCGGCCGAAGAAGTGCCTGCCATGGAAAGTTCGCCCAATGTCCGCTCCAACTCTTCGCCGATTTCGGCACCGCTGAAGCACTGGAGAATGGGGAAGGAGAAGAGACCGGGCCCAACCGGTCCGTCATGGCCATGATCACATGGGTCATGTTCAATTTTAACCTCGACCAGAACGTCCTACCAGAACCGAGCAAGACATGTGGAATGGAACCAATGGGGATTCAAAAGCTTCCAGGAAGTCGTCGTGTCTTGGAAAGATGTTGACTCCCATCTCCTTCCTTGTTTTCACCCTACTGAGTGTTCATCAAGTATTGGGATGGACCACCTTTGTTGTGCCTCATAATTCGTCTGGAGGAGATGATATGGCGACTCTGATGGCGGCATTTATGTCTTCGAATGGGACGACACGCAATTTGGCAGTTAATTCCACGATTATTTTCAAGAAAGGCATCACCTATAACTTCTTTTCCGCCGTACGACTTCCGGTCTTGCATAATGTTGAGATTAGGATCGAAGGGAATATGAGCTATTTGGAGGATATTGCGGCTTTACAAGGTGGGTAGCCGTGGTATATTTCATGATTGGGGAGTTTTGATTGTTGTACTTATTTTGGAGAATAGCTGTCGTTGCTGCCAAGGTATGGATAACATTTGTGGTGGAGCGTCGTCACTGAGTGGGCTTTGATGCTCATAGGAATATCCTGGATCGATGTAAGCCACCCATTCCATGACCACCATCTCGTTGATATTTTTCTAGGATGACTTTTACTGGGGGAACTAACGTCACTCTCAGAGGAACCACTGATCCCGGATGGGGTTGGATCGATGGACATGGACAAGCGGTACGTTTATTGCTTCATCTCTGCGCCATCCAATCATCTGCACCTAATCAAGTGGTGGGATGCAACCGAACGAACCCATCGCCCTCACGGGATATGGTTTCACAATATCAACGGAGGAATCATCCGAGATATGAAAATTTATAAGGTCTATAACCTCAGTTGAAATAGTTTCCAGCCACTATTCTGACTGCGAGCACAGCCAGTTGCGTGGTGCTACGAGACCTCTGGATCAAATAACGTGCATGTCTTTGGAAATACAATCCTTGCCAAGTCGGATACCGATGTAGGTGGAGGACTCATTCATCAATTCGAAGACTTATCACGTTCCAGTCTTTTCCATTCAATACGCAAGTCGTCTTTCGGATACCGATGTAGGTGGAGGACTCATTCATCAATTCGAAGACTTATCACGTTCCAGTCTTTTCCATTCAATACGCAAGTCGTCTTCCTTCTTATTCTCCTTCCCATTGCCTAGCGATTTGATACATACATTCACAGCGATGGTATATTTCTTTGTTCTCTTCCCACTGCAGCTCAGACCGATTCCTCCTCCAGGTTTTGGTGCTCAAGGAACAAATCAGCTCTTCGAAAATAACTACGTTGTCAACGGGGACGATTGCGTTACGGTCACTAATGGAGCTGTGAACATCACATTTCGGTTGGTGATTCTCTTCCCCTGATATCTATTTACTGCTCACCATCGGATCGACAGCGACGCTTACTGCGAAGGCACGCATGGGCTCTCTACCACCATCGGTTCGAGCTCCAATAACTCCTTTGCAACGGGAGAGAACTTCTTGTATGTCTCATATCACAGAATGGAACCTGCACTGACGAAGATCTGGTAGATTTGAGAATGTTCTGATGGCTAGTTTCCTGACCTACCTACCGATGTTACATCCATTGAGCTGTATATAGAAATCAGGCCTCTACGGCGCCAGGTTCAAGAGTTGGACAGGCGGACCTGGATTAACTCGCAAGTAAGCCTTCAACTTCCGAGGCCGAACCAGTCCTGATCGGCCTGCAAGTGTGACCTACAGAAATATTCGATTTGTGGACACTGTTTTCCCCATATATGTCACTCAAAAGTACGCATATTGATTTATCTTCGATTCTGTTTGCCTACTGGAATTTCTATCGCTATTTTGACCAAGAGGTACGGCTGTGACACCGTCCCCAAGTCGTTTAGTTGATCGCCCTTATTATAGACTTCGACTCGACCAGAAATACCCGCAAACCCTGACCCCAATAATGCTACCCACATCGAAGATTTCTCATTCGAAAACTTCTCCGGCACCATAAGAGACATCGGCCCCCAAGCAGGATCTTGTATTTCTGACCCTTGCTGGTATTTCGTTGCGAATGCGACGGGAAGAGAGGTCGTCATATTGGATTTATATCCCGGTACAGGTGAGGTGTGGAACGCTCTGATTTCTGTCTGGGTTCTTATGATAGCGTGGCACAGCTACAAATATCAGGACGAAGAATATTGTTGTTAAAACAGAGAGCGGCGGTGAGGTGGACGTGATGTGTAACACTGCGGATGTGAGTTGTTTGCGACGAGTCTTCGCTGAACAAAGCTTAATCAGTCCAGGTCACGAATGACGTTGGGTTCATATGTCAAGATGGAGCATTTATTCGCACCAAACCTGGGATCTGACAATACAAATCGTTGGAGTTTGAATTAGTCGAAGCTCGCTGTCCTAAGCAAAATCACCTCACATAATTATGCGTAGTGATACGTGTGCCGCATTTGCTGCGATTTGTGGGAGAAAGGAAAATACTTGCTAGCAGCAACTGCAGCCTAGAAAATCTGAAAACATGGCACAGACCAAGACAGACGTAGGAATCATGCTCAGATTCTCACTGAATTAAAATAAGGAGGTCATTTCCGCTGAGCATTCTTGCACCGAGACGTGATTATCCAAGATCAACCGTTC